CTGCAGCCACGCTTACAATGTGCCCATCCTGCGAGAGATTGGCGGCGGTGGACACCAGATCCGGCCACATCCCACCATCTTTCTCCAAATCCCACCACCCCCACCACCTTCAACAACAAGCAGCAGGAGCCATCGGCGGCGGCCATCACTTCGCGCCTCACTCCCAGCCCCCCGCCGCCTACCAGAGCTGATTCCGCGCGAGCGAAGCAAGCGAGATTGATCATCCAAGATCATCCCGACCCAGCGGCAAAGTGGTGATAGATCCGAGGGCCGATCTCTGTTCCATGGCGACCAAAAGTGGAAGGTTTCCAAAAGTTTCTTTCTGACTGGATATACTACCAACTTGCGCGCGTTCGATCATGATCACTCCACACACACACACGCACTCACACTCGCACCAGCAAGCAAGCAAAGCAAGCAAGAACAACTGTGAGTCATCGCTATCGTACTTTTGGGACGATTTTAAGCGAGCAAGCAAAGCTGGGCTTGGCTTGTCTCTCGCCTGGCCTTTGGCAAAGTCAAAAGCAAAGGCTGGAAAAATTTGGACAGTCAGTTGAGTGGATGGGTCAGTCATCAGTCAGCAAGCAGCGAGTCAGGCTCAGAGAAATCATTCACACACAAATTTTCTTCTTCCACACAGAGCAAGAAATACATATGTACTTACACCCAAGCACAAAAAAACCTTTCACACACACAAAGCTCTCTCTCTCTCTCTCTCTCTCTCTCTCTCTCACGCCAGCCACAGTTTGGATGGGGCCAAGCCCAGCAAAGGAAGGAAGTCGTGCGCGACCCGTGAGGTGTGCCGAGATTCAACAACACAAATGTGGTGTGTGTGTGTGTTTGTAAAGCTTGTTTCTACATGCGGTACAAGAATTCCGCGGTACTTAGGACAGTGGCATCTATCTTGCTTGTGGACTGTTGCTGCTGTTTTGCTGCTCTTGCGCTCTTGCGCTCGCTCGTGTAAATTATTCGCAGGAATTCGCTCACTCGAGACTTGTGAGCGGTAGTAGCCACGAGGAAGAAGATAGACAAGTTGATCAAATCAAGTTTAAGCTTGAATGGGGGCATGCATGGAGATGCATGGGCCATGCATGAGTCATGCACGAATCATGATGAGTGGGCCGTGTGTGTGTGTGATGCAATCGCCATGAATGATGATGATTTTGAATGAGCTTTTCCTTTTTTATCCATTCTTACTGCGTGGCGCTGGATCTCGTGTTTACAAAAGTGATTTAATGCGTGACCAGGGCGGGCATACCTGACTGCTACTACTACTCTACTAACGCTAGCCGCGTGTGAGAGTTTGTGTACTGCTCTAGGTAGACTGGACGTGTTCATAGCCATCGGCTGCTTGGATTGGAGTTTTGACTAATTAGCGGTGAAGCGTAGAAGACTGAGAATTCAACGGACCGAGATCGAGAGGAATTTTTGGTTTTCACGATGGTCATGAGAATTTATTGGCTGCGGCCGCGATTGGTTTGGTGGGCGAGGTGATTTAAGACCTTGATGAATCGAGGAAATTTCTATTTTTACTTACTATTGGAGATTTTCGCGATTGATTTGGGCGTGGAGATTTGGTTCGAGATCGATGGAGGAAATTTTTGGTTTGAGATTTCACAATGGTCATGAGATTTTACTGTACTATTGGTATGATTTTCGCGACTGATTGATTGTTGGCCAGCAGAGGCGATTTAGTTTGAGGAAAGAAGGCTTTGAATCTTCCACATGCTCCATAATGGGATCCAACCGCCCAACGGTACGGACTGGTGCTGACTCACGTGGTCCCCGCGGAATACCCGCCGGTGATTGGGCCGAATGGAACCACGTGGCGGACACGTTGCGCCCCTCGGCGGTCAATCATACATTGGCACTGGCGGTATGATGGTTGCCTCGCGTTTTCTCCTGCCTGCGCTGCGCCCTCTCTCTCATGGTTGTCATCATGGTGGCGACGATGGTCATGATGGTGTTGATGATGATCATGCATGTGGCGTGAGGGGAGTCGTGCGACATGATGTCCGCGCGTGCCTGCCTTCCAGGGTGCACAGGCGCCACCTCACCTTGTCGGCTATGGCATTGTCGGCTATGTATGCATGAATGATGCCTGGGGCTAACTAGGGCGGAGGAGGTTGCGGGTTCGACTCCGGTTCTAATATTGTTAAGGGGTTTTAGGGTTCTTCCGATGGAGGAGGACGCAGAGGAGAAGGTCGTGCTAGAGTACCTGCGGCGCAAGAAGTACCGCGTCGCCGAGATTGCGCTGCTCCAGGAGCAGCAGAAGCAGAATAGCGATACGTCTGGCGCCATCAGCCACATTATCAACCATTCCAGGTAATCTCTTCTCTAGCGTGTAGGGTTTTGATCAGCATTGCGTGCTAAATTCTTAGAGCTGACAATGAGGCTGGGCGGTACAAGGAGAGCTATAGTAAGCTCCGAAACTGGGTTCACTCTTCTCTGGATCTCTACAAGGTTCTTATTGCAGCTCTTGCTTGTTTTCAAGGTTTTGTGAATTTTTCTCTCTGTGGCAGACTGAGCTACTTCGTATACTCTATCCGGTGTTTGTGCACTGTTACATGGAATTGGTGGCGAAAGGTTTCGCGCAAGAAGGTACGCTGTTCCATTTGGCATGGTTGTTTTCCCGCTGAGGGGAAAGTTACAGCACGAGAATTCTTCCAAAGTTTTCGGGATGACCATCAACCGCAACATATAAGAGATCTTCAGAAACTAGAGGGAGTGATTACTCCTCAGCACCTCCAGGTAGCTTTCCTTTTAAGGGTCGAGCTTGGAGTCTCAAGGTTCTGGTTTTTTCGTAGGAAAACGAGACTGCATGCACGCTTCAAGAGAACAAAGTACACGTCAAGATGTGCCAGGTAGAAATTTCGTGCTGCAACTGGAATGCTCATAATCCCGTTTAAAATGCAGTATTCTTTCGAGTTACTTCTGCAATATCTCCAGAGCACAGAATCAATGTTAATGCTTGGGATCGTCAATTCACATATCAACTTGAAAGGTCGTCTCTAGTTTGTCGGTTCCATTGGACTAACTCTTTCAGGTTGTTGAAAGCAGTCCTTCCTGGGCAACCAGCAGCTTTAGTGGACGATGATGAATCTAGCTCTCTTCCTGCAAAGGTCCAGGCAGTGGTTGAAGCGACAAATCAAAAGGAGATTCACTGGGGGGTGGGTAAATTTCCTTTCTGGTTGGGCTGGACCTTCATTTTCTTTATGCAGATTCTTGAAGGATCCTTGGAAGATAAGTTTGAGAAGCAAATAGCGGCAGAGCTGGAGAAGGCTGACGCGGATAAAGATGCGGAAACAGACGAAGCTAAAGTGCGCGATTTCCTTGTTTTTCCTTTGTGATATCCATCGTCTTACGAGATTGATTCTTAGAAACGAGCTGCCGACGGGAAAGTAAAGAGAGTGAAAAGGGACAAAGCAGGTAAAGGATTAAAGGCCGAACCGGCTGCCAGATCTGTCCCCCGATTGAAGCCGGAGTTGACGATGCCACTGCTGTAAGCTTTTCAATTCTGCAACACGAGGAATTTGAACTGGCTTCTCTGCAGGACTGACGACTTTGAACGGCAAGCTCTGGATGACCTGCGTAATAGAGTCAAGCTCGGAAGCACTGCGTTGCCATCAGTGAGCTGTTACACATTTGTGAACACAAACAACAGGTTTGGATGCATGATGAGTTTTGAGAATGATTTGGTGAACTTGGAGCCACTGGCAGCCTGAACTGTGCTTCAATATCAGCAGACGGTGCTTATCTGGCTGGAGGATTCTCTGATTCGGCAATTAAGGTACGTCTATAATTGTTATTCGTTGCGTGTATTGACTTTAGAAACTTCTTATAGCTCTGGGACATGGTAAAGATGGGCGAGCCTTCAATGTATTCGGATGCTGGTAAGCAGTCTCTAAATAAAAGACCAACATCAATTCGTCAGTTTTGTAGGCAAGGGCCAGTTTGAGGGTCGCAGTTCCAGCTACATACGATTGGTTGGACATGCTGGCCCAGTATATGGTGTGGACTTTAGCCCTGAGGGTGATTCACTGCTATCAGCATCAGGAGATTGTACAAGTGAGTTATCTTGGTCTTTGCAGGAGCTTGCTAAACGTTTTGCTATCTGTCTTGAAGTACGCCTTTGGAGCACCAGGCTGAATGCCAACTTAGCTTGCTACAAAGGACATAACTATCCCGTCTGGGATGTTCAGGTATGACAGGCTTTTGGCCTTATAGTCGGTCTGATCTCCGGCTACTCTTGCAGTATAGTCCAGTGGGACATTATTTCGCGAGCGCGTCTTACGACCGGACTGCAAGAGTGTGGTCCATGGATAGATTGCAACCGCTGAGGATAATGGCTGGCCATCTCTCAGACGTGGATGTAAGTTCTACCTTTCCGCTTATGTCGTTTCTCTCCCTCGCATAAACTTGAGCGAGTTGCTGCATGCGTTTGCAGTGCGTGCAGTGGCATGTCAATTGCAATTATATTGCTACAGGCTCAAGCGACAAGACTGTCAGGCTGTGGGACGTACAAACTGGAGAGTGTGTACGCATTTTCACAGGCCACAGGTCGATGATCGTGTCGATTGCCATGTCCCCTGATGGACTCTTCATGGCATCGGGTGACGAGGATGGGGCCATTATGATGTGGGATTTGGCATCCAGCCGCTGCGTGACTCCTCTGCTGGGTCACACCGGCTGCGTTTGGAGCCTCGCTTTCAGGTAGCAAGAGCCTCTGGAGAAAAACGATTGATTTTTTTCTTGATTTTTTTTCCTCCAGTGGCGAAGGGTCCATTCTGGCTTCTGGTTCCGCTGATAACACTGTCAGACTGTGGGATGTGAACGGGAGCTCTAAAGTCACTGCAGACAAGTGAGTATTTTAATCATCTTCTTTTAAAGCTCTGAGAGCTTTGTATTTGTTTTTTTTATTCTCTGTTTGTGCAGAACAAGGAGATTGCGATTGTTGAAGACACTGCCAACCAAATCGACTCCAATCTACACACTAAGAGTGAGTAACAACACGCTTTTTCTTTGTAGTTACACGCTGATTTACACCGTTATTTTCCACTGTAGTTTTCTAGGAGGAACTTGCTGTTCGTCGCTGGCGCCTTTAGTCCCAGCAAAGGCCACTAAGTTACATTCTCCTGGTGGAAATCATCTTGGAAAAGCATAACGCTGAAGGAAGCGAGAACCTCAAGCTCTGTTGTGTTTGAGAAACTTGAAAGACGTGACCGCCAGCGCCGCGAAGAAGAGCGCCATCCCACACAGCGCCAGATAGTCCCAGTGGTTGCGGCTCATCTCGATGGGTCTGGTAGCCAGCAGTCTATCCCACACGAACGCAGGCCGGGTGGTGTTGGTCCGGGTCAGGAGCTGCTCGACGTCGTGAAGCCTCTTGCAGTGGCAGCCGGGGCACGGCTGGCGGATGACGCAGCTCAAGCAGGCCGGGGTCCCAGTGTCGCAGTAGAAGGAGGTCGGGGTGAGGATGTTGATCGTGTACTGGAACGGGTTCATCCAGTAGAGCCACTTGTAGAAGCGGATCCTGTTCCTGGGAACCGAGACGCCGGACGAGGAGATCCACATGGACATGATGATGGAGGAGAAGGTGACGGCTATGGTCGGGATCGGAGCTGCGCAGGCCAGGAAGACGCCGTAGCACACCACCACCATGGTGAAGAGGAAGAGGCACGTCCAGTACTTGAGGAACATCGTGAAGGTGTCGACTCCGACGCCGGCCATCCCGTTTGCTATCCCGACGAAGACGAACGTTCCCAGGAGGATGTATGGGATCTCCGAGACGAGCCAGGACAGCGGGTAGAGCAGCGAGGTGTACATGCGAGCTCGGCTCTCGCGGACGTAGACCTGCCTGTCGGTGCCGAGCTGCGGGATGAGATTGTTGGCGGTGGTGGCGCAGATGAGGATGGCCTCGATGTACATGATGAGCGACGCCGACTGCATGGAGGTGGACCGCTCGACGTCGATGTTGAGGAAGAGTGTGCCGATGACGAGCGCGATGATGACAATGCCCGTGAGCCGGTTGAAAGTGTAGCGGACGTTGCGCCACAGGAACCTGGCGTTGCGGAGGAACACCATAGCGAACTGCGTCTTGTAGGGGGCGATGTAGCGGGAGTTGAGATGGTGGAGGCCGTCGTCTTTCTGGTCACGCAGGGACTGGAGCTCGGCCGCGTTTGCGAGCTGCAGTGGGCTGTTATGATATGCGGAGACGAAGTCCGCCGCGGGCTCCCGCTTCGTGGTTCCGCCACCCAGGATGTCCAGCAGGAACACCATCGGGCTCCGCCGCGGGTCGTAAGGTGGCACGCCTGGAATGGCCGTGAAATAGTCGAGGAGCTGGCTGCCGTTGGTACCGGGTGGTCCGAAGTAGACTTGCTTCCCCTCCCGCAAGACCAGCACGCTGTGGAAGAGGCCTAGTGTCTCGGCGCTGGGATGGTGCAAGGTGACGAGCAGCGTGCGTCCGTTCATGGCCACCGTTTGCAAGAGGTGCAGAACGTTTCTCGCGCTGGCTCCGTCCAGCTGCGAAGTTGGATCGTCGAGAAACAGGATGCTGGGATTTGCTGCCAGCTCGATGGCTATGGTGAGCTTCTTGGTGATCTCCCGCGGTCGCTTGTTCATCTGCTGGAACACCCCGACTAGCTTGTTGCTTACGTGGGAGAGGCCTGTGAGCTCGAGTATGAGATCGACGTGACGAGCCTTGTCGGCGGAGCTTATGTGACGCCTGAGCCGGAGGTTGGCGCTGAACTCGAGAGACTCTCGGACTGTGAGATACGGCTGGTGCATCTCGACGTTCTCGGCAAAGCCAGAGATGCGGTGGAAGCACGTCTTCTTCAGCCGGACACCATTGACGAGTACCTCGCCTTCCGAGGGCATCCTGCCGGCCAGGCACTTGAGGAGTGTCGACTTTCCTGCGCGAGTGCTTCCGACGAGAGCTAGCATCTGGCCTGGCTTGACATAGCCGGAGATCAGGCTCAGGTGCCCTGTCGGAAGAGTGATGTCGAAGAACGTGAGAACTAGAGGCCTCACAGGAAGATGGAGTTCCATCCACTTGGCTGCTTCTTCTTGACCGGGACCGTCGCGGAGGCTACCGTCCTCTACTCTGCTCAGCTCCTCCGGATCTGGTTTTACAGCTTCTTCGTCGGCAACTGGATGAAGCTGACCTTTCCTGACAGGAGATGGCGCCAGCTCCGGCAAGCGGGACTTTTTGTACGCCAGGTATGCGAGGAAGTTGAGAGCGAGGATGAAGATGACGATTGCTGCGTACGCGAGCACCAGCCTTCCCCCGGAGGCTTCCAAGTCATAGAACTTGATAAAGGCCCGGCCGAGCGTGAGCCTTGGGTTTACCAAACAGAACTGGAAGTTGAGATGGCTCGTGCATGGCTGGTCGTACCGGGTCTTCATCTGAGTCGAGGAGTAGATGATGTTGCCCCAGCGCGTTGGAACGATGTAGAGCATCCATTTCCAGTAAGCGGGTGTCACACTGGGTAGCAAAATCACGCCAGAGAAGAGAAGACACACGAGGATGAAAAGTCCTGTGGATGAAAGAAAATAAACCCAATGTTTTGTCAAAAGGTGTTTCAAACCTGCCAAAGCTGCGGCATTCTCCAGCAGCGGAGCGAATCCGCCGACGAGAAACACGAACGACGATCCCATGTATCCTATCACAAAGATCAGCGCCAAATACTGGAAGTAGTGCGCAGCATTTTCCAGTGAGAGGCCCGCGAGGAAGTACGTACACATGCTATAGATTATTGCCTGCTCAAGAGAATGACCATGTATGTGTGAAGCTTCCGACAATCAAGCGACTCTTACCTCGAGAAGTGATTGCGGGAGACTCACGAGGCCTTGAGCCACGACGTATGAAGAAACTGGGAAGAAATGCAGCTCGCGGTGCTTTTGGAAAACCGGCCGATGAATCAAGAGGTGGATTGGGAGTTGTGTGAGGTTTATAAGCATCAAGACCATCATCGAGACGAAGCCAAGGGTTCGTAGCGCAATCATCTCATATTGATCGATCTTGCCGCCTTTCTTGTAGAAGAAAGAACCAGCAAAGAGTCCAAGAACAGTAATCTGTACGAATACGATTGTTGAAAGCTAAGAAAAAGTCTAGAGCTTTTCAAACCTGGAACAGCCGAAGTATGATCAGGATTTTGAAACGAATCGCAAATGTAAATTGACGCTTCACAAGGCATTGCGTAGACCATAGCCAGTCCTTCACGTTGACAAATCCAAACCGCTTTTTGTAGCACGCACCGGTTTCTTTCTGGACAGGAAAACTCCATGAGATTACCATTAACATCTGAAGATTTGGTATGAGTTCTCACCTCTTGCATTTTACGCTCCAGTTGCACGTGAAGTGATCCTTCTCTCGAGTTTAGCAAGTCGGCAACTTTACAAGCTTGAGCCGCCTGTTCGGCTGGAGAGCCACCTCTAACGTAGTGAGTACTACCGTCAGGCAGCACAACAGCAGTGATTTCGTCTCCCACTCGAACCGCTCCATTGGTTATGATCTCTCCGGCCTCGGAGACATTTGTCACGTAAACACCTACAAAACCTTATAATTCGACACTAAAGAGGAACACGTATCGTTACCCGGGCCATTCAGAGTGTCATGCTGGATGGAGATCTCAATATCGGAGATAGTCTCGGCCATGTAAGTGTGAGTCACGTCTTTGCTGGAAACGATACGCGTGACGTCTTTGAAATGGTCGGATGCTTTATAAGATACAACAAGCTCCGGAATTCCCAGTTTTGTAAAACCAGGCATCAGGTATCCAGCTCCAGACCCCGCAGAAATATCTTGAAGGAACACAGCAGGATCGACATAGCTAGGTTTTTTATATCTGGCAGGCAACAAGGAAGTTAGTTCGTCAGCAGATAAGAGAGTTTAGACATACCCAAGCTTGAAGAAGTAGTTTTCCACACTGTGTCGAGGACCTTGGTAGATCATCTGGCCCTCGGACAAGATAATGATCCTGTCAAAAAGCTCGAAAACTTCCGGAGCTACCTGAGCCATGCAAGTTACTAGAGCGCATTCTTGAACACGAATCACTGTGTCTAAGAGATTATGAAGCCTGTCATAAAGGCGTAACGAGTCCTCTGCCGTTGCTGGCTGATCGTATAGAAAGACTGAAAAAGTCCGCATCGCGATCTCTGCTGTCGTAAGCCTGGCTTTCGCTGATTCCTTCAGGAGAGGCCCGACCACCAAATGCTCGATTTGCTTTAAGCCGAAAGTCTGTAGAACATATTCCAGGAATGGATTGTCGCTGTCTGCCAAGTCCGGAGCAAAGCACCTGATCATTTGGGCCGTGAGTTCCTGCGGTCGAAGCCGTCGCGTGCATTTCTCGGCAAACTCGAGAGTTTCTCGAATGGTAAGCACCGGCAAGTGGCTGATAAAAAGCATTAAATGGAGTTCAGACAAGAAGAAAACAAAACAAAGATTACGTACACGTTGTGAAGGCCTGTAGCATAAGCAATCGGACGCTTGGTCTCGAGATCTGGCGTCAATACGGAGTCGTTGTATAAGACCTGGCCTTCAAACTTTACGAGCTTGCTGGGATGAAAGTGTCCGGCAAGGACCTGGTATAATCACAGAAAGATGGATAAGTCACATTGTAATAAGAAACCACTAAATTACCTTCAAAAGAGCAGTCTTTCCACTTCCTAGAACAAAGAAAAAAAAGAAAAAAACCGTGAAAATGTAGCTAGAGTTCGTTAAGTTTTGGAGAATTACCTGCCGGACCGATCACTAGAGTCATGGAGCCAGGCATAACGTAGCCACTCACGTCGTCAAGTACCTTGACACTGCTCGGTTGATCTCTTTTCTTCGCGAGAAGCTTTAGAGGACCGAGAAAGCAGCCCACAATCTTCCTTCCAAACGTTTCATAGCTCTGCGCTTGCTGCTGAGGACTGTTCACGGTCACAGTGACACCCTTGAATCTTATCACCTGCAAACGCTCGCCTGGTAAAGATCTTCCCGGACAGAAAGAAAAGAACAAGGAAAATTTTAAATATCTGGTACCAGGTCATATGGATCCGTCGCAGCGTGGTACTGCTCCAGATCGCTCTTGAGCGAGCTCGATCTCGCAATGCTGAGGCTCACAGCCCTTGGCAGCTCCTCATCGACGACGAGCTCGCGGAGGGACGAGGAATTGGAGACTCTCGCGGCCTCCATTTCGTGGCGGCGATCATCGGCGCCATCATCCGCGGTGGCAGCCATCCCCGATCGACGATCGGGAGCTGTATTCTCACAGAAATTCTCCAAATTTCCTAGATCAAGGAGAAAGAAGCGCAGAGATCACTGGAAGAAGCTCTACCTGGCCCAGATTTCCAAAAAACGTCACTGCGTTGAAATTCGTAAAAGCCCTATCTCTCTGGAGAGAGATCCTAGTCAAACTCAAACACCTCCATATAGCTCCCATATCTCTAGAAATTTTATAGTATTTCTTCCCATATGTTAGTCCACGACGCTCGCAATTATCCAAGCAAGCCGCCACCATCGATCTTAATTTTTTCCTCCGAAGTTTCGCACGAAAGCTGAAAAAAGAAAAGAAAAAAATTGTCGTCTTGAAGTACGTAAGCCTTGAGCTCAATCGTGAAAGGTCCACCATCTGGGAAGGAAATTTAGAAAACTAAACTGCGAAGTACCTCACTCTAGTCCTCCAAAGTTCTCGTCATAGCCCAGAGCGTCGCGAGAACGTCGTGAGTTTTACTTCCTGTTGTGCTTGAGTCGAGCGAAGGATACGATCGCCAGGACCGCGAAGAGCAGCACCATGAAAGCCAGAGCCAGGAAGTCCTTCCCAATCCTGTGCTTCTCAAGAACTCTTGCCTTGCTCAGCCTCTCCCACACGAAGCTTGCTCGAATGAACTGGCTGAAGACCGGCCCATAGATTTGCACCAGCTTCTTCTCCAAGTCGACCAGCCTCTTGCACTTGCATCCAGGGCAACTCGCGCCGATCGTGCAAGCATTGCACGCCGGAGTTCCGGTGTCGCAGTAGAACGCAGTCGTGGTGAGGATATTGACGGCGTACTGATACGGGTTGATCCAGTAGAGCCACTTGTAAAACTGGATGTTGTAGCGCGGAATGGAGACCCCCGAGGACGCCACCCACACCGAAGTCGATATCGACGAGACCGTCATGGCCAGCAGCGAGTTTGGAAACAGCAGCGTGACGAAGATGCCGAAGTAAGTCACGGCCAGGGTGAAGAGAAACAGGCCGATCCAGTACTGGACGAACGCGGACACGGAGTCGACGGCAAGGTTGGCCAGGCCGTTTCCAATCCCGACGAAGGCGAGTGTGCCGAGCAGCAAGTATGGAACCTCGGCGATGGCCCAGGACAGCGGATACAGCATCGGGGAGTACATCCTTGCTCGGTTCTCTCGATAGTAGACGAGCCTGTCCGTTCCGAGCTGCGGTATAACGTTGTTGGCCGTGAGCCCGGAGATCATAATCAGCTGGATATACGGGAAGAGGCTGGCGGACGTCATGAACAGCAGCTTTTCCACGGAGATGTTGAGGTAGAGTGTTCCCATGACGAGAGCGACGAGAATGGTCCCAAGGAGGCGGCGGAGTGTGTATGTCACGTTCCTCCATAAGAAACGCTGGTTCCGGAGGAACACCATGGCTGCCTGCGTCTTGAACGAAGCTGCGTATCGAGAGCTGATGTTCTTGAGCTCGGGATCTGGCTGCTGCTTGAGAAGCCTCTCGAGTACCTCCGCGTTTGCCTGATGTAGAGGGCTGGACTGGTACAGCTGAGAGAAGTCGTGCAATGGTTTTCGCTCCTTTATGCCTCCGCCAAGTGCTTCGAGGATGTAGGTGACAGGGTTCCACTGCTCGTTGTAAGGTGGCGAACTCGGCACTGACGTGAAGTAGTGCAGCACTTGCTTGCAGTTCCAGCCAACGGCGCCGAAATAGGCTGTGTGACCGCCAATAGCTAGTACCAACACATCGTTGAACACGCTGAGTGCCTCTCCACTGGGATGATCCAGCATGCTGATGATAGTACGCCCGCTTAAAGCAACACTCTGGAGCAGTCTCAGAATCTCTCTGGAGCTAGTGCCATCCAGCTGCGCCGTGGGATCCTCCAAGAAAAGTATGCCGGGGTTGACGGCGAGTTCCACAGCTATAGTAAGTTTCCTTCTTGTCTCCTGGATTCGAGCAGTGACGAGCTTCAAGTTGCCAACAAGTTGATTGCTCATAGCTGACAATCCCAAAAGTTCCAGGACCTCCGTCACATGCCGAGCTTTGTCGTCCGCACTGATTTGTTTTCCCAGCCTGAGATTTGCACTGAACTCCAGGGACTCTCTGACAGTAAGATACTGTTGGTGAGCTTCCAACTTCTCAGCAAATCCAGATATCCGGCAGATGGCGAGTCTGTCCAGTTTCAAACCGTTTAAAGAAACGTCACCCTCGAGCTTGCCGGGTGGTAGCCTGCCTGCAATGCAGTTGAGTAACGTTGCCTTGCCCGACCGTGTGCCCCCAGCAATTGCTAGCATTGTTCCTGGCTTGGCATAGCCAGAGACGTTGTCCAATACTACTTGCTCAAAAGAAGATCGCGCGTCCCGCCTGGTGAACCTCAGCTGGTGAAAGGAGAGCGTTACAGGCTTGACAGATAACTTGCAAGTCCACCTCCCAGGTGCTCGTGTACCTCCGTTCTCTGCTTGTTCCACATTGTTGGGGCCGCGAACATACTGTTTCTGCCTTGGTATAGCCGATGCCGTTTCTTGTATCCGGACTTTGCTGTACGCAAGATATGCCAAATAAATGAGAACCAGAATATATGCAACGATGACTCCGAATGCGAGAACAAGCCTTTTTCCACCAGCTTGTAGCTCATAATACTTGAGAAATGCTTGGCCAAGAGAAAGTGTTGGATGAAGAAGACAGAATGGATACGTGCGGTAAAGTGTGCAAGGTAATTCATAGCGGTTGTCGGTTTGAGTCGATGTAAAAATGACATTTCCCCAACGAGTTGGTGTAATGTATAGAACCCATCGCCAGTACCAGCTGATTACACTTGGAATAATCGTGGAGCCCGAAAATAGAAGGTTCAAAGCGACAAATGAACCTGTAAAAACAAGTAGACATGTTGCTGAAGCTACATTATCTCAGAAAAAGTCATACCTCCCATCGTTGTGGCTACTTCCAGCATTGGTGCAATGGCACCTACCAACAACATCCAAAGTGAGCCCAAATAAGCAGTGACAAAAATCAATCCTAAGTACTGAACATAATGTGCTGCCTTCTCTTTAGACAGCGAAGCTAAAAAATACACGCACAAACTGTAAAGCAGTGCCTGTAATACTTTCAACGCTCAAGTCATACGAGAAAATAATAGCATACCTCTGTAACTGATTGAGGAATGTTCAAAATGGCATGTGCTACTACATACGAAGAAACAGGAAATAAGTGTTGACCTTGCTGCTTGTAGAAAACGGGTCGATGAAACACCATATGGACCGGAAGCTGGACGATGTTAATTAACATCAAAGTCATCATAGATATAAATCCAATCGTTCTCATAGAATTCATTTCGTATTGATCAAGTCTGCCTCCTTTATGATAGAACAAGGAGCCAGTGAACAAGCCGACTAAAAGAATCTGAAGAGTCAGCATTTAGCATGACTAAATCGGACGCTGTCATTACCTGGAGAAGTCGTACAATAGCTAATCCCTTAAGTCGCATTACAAATATTGTTTGACGCCGGATCAAACACCAGGTCGACAACCACCACGAACAAAATTGTTGCCATCCGAAGTGTCTTTGATAATACATAGCATTGCCTCCCTGCAAACTAAAGACATAAAGGGACTTTCAAATTACGAGATGCCCAACCTCATCGAGATTTCGCTCCAACTGTAAAAGGATGGAGCTATACGATGCCTTCAACATGTTGGATACTTTCGAAGCTGAATCCGAGCTCTCAACATATTGAAATTCTTCACTACGCACGCAAACTCCTGTCACCTTGTCGCCAACACGAACGCAAGCACAACTTTCTACACTCGGAGCTTCCGTCACCAACACATCTGCACGGCTCACTGCATTTTAGTAGCAAAAGAACACATATTCTTTTCCATACCATTCCCTTGCAGCGAAGCACGAATGCTAGAAGTTCTGAATAAGGTTGCTTGAGTCGCCTTTTCAGTTGAAACAAGCCGAAAAACGTCTTTATAGTAGTCCGATCCTTTATAGAACTTTATAAGCTCCTCAATACTAAGCGATGAAGGCTGCTGTGAATACTGTCCACCCTCGCCAGCTGCAATATCCTGTAAAAATGTTCCAGAGTCTACGTGAGCGGGCTTCTTGAACCTGCCAGGCAAAAATAAAACGAAGAACAAAGTGTGCCAAACACATACCCAAGCTTTAAGAAGTAGCTCTCGACGCATTCACGCGGGCCTTGATAGAGAACCTCACCCTCGCTGAGAAGGATAACACGGTCGAAAAGATCGAAGGATTCCGGTGAAATCTGAACCAGCGATATGACGGCAGCACAATGCTGTACGTGAACCACGCTTTGCAGCATTTGAAGCAAGTCATACGTGATAAGCGAGTCCTGTCCAGAACTTGTCTGATCATACAGCAACACAGAGTATGTACCCATAGCAATCTCCGCAGTTGCCAGTCTGTTTCGGTCGCTATCCTTGATGCCATCAGCAAGAGTCCCAACCCGTTCGTTTTCAATCTTTTTGAGACCAAACATGTGTAGGATGTAGTCCACGTACGAGTCCCGGCCCTGTACAGCATCGGACTGTGGCATACAACGCTGCCATAGAGCACACCGTTGAACAAACTCGATAGTTTCTCGGACTGTGAAAAACGGCAAATGCCTGCAAGTGTAGGCCAGTTTATACGGCTGAGAAACATCAACGAGCCTACTTACACGTTGTCGTGTTGAGTCACATAAGCGATGGGCCGCTTTATAGCAAGTCTGGGCGACAAAGGGTCGTTGTTGTAAAGCACAACGCCCTCCAGCCTGAGTCGTCTGTTAGGACGTAGCTTTCCTCCCATCACCTGTTATCACCACTGTCTGTAGAATTAACAGCCAATGTAGCATATGAAACAAAGCATTTCATATCTCCAAACAATCACCATGCTACCTTGAGGAGAGTGCTCTTCCCACTGCCTGTTTAGAAGGAAAAGGTCTCAAAAGAAACAAAAATCAAGGTCACGAACCTGGCGGACCGAGAACAAGAGTCATGGAACCCGGCATCACATAGCCACTCACGTCCTTGAGAACCTTGATCTTGCTGGATTTCTTCTTGGAACGAGCCAGCTTAATGCAAACTCCTAGAAGGCATCCAAGTAGCTTCTTGCCAAAGGTATCATAGCCCGGACCAACTTCGGTGTGATCCATCGTAACACTGATGGCTTTGAAGCGAAGAACCTGAATGGAACGTAAGATCCCTCCACGGTAGAAAAAGGGAACTTACTAGAGTCCAGGGAGGGGATTTCTCCTTGGAAGTGGATGGAGATTCATGGCTGACATCACCAAAGGAACGCCTTGTGGCACACATTGGACAAAATCCCGGGCCAGCATTTTCCTCCGGGCTCCTCGCCCGTGGCGCCGACTCATCAACCGGCGATGGAGGCGATTCTTCCTGTTCCTGAGAGCTAGAAGAGCTGCTCATCGGGTGCGGCATGGCGATCGGCGCGTAGAGATCCTCGACCAGCGACGCCGACAGCTGGAGCGAGAAGGGCCTCACCACCGAGGACTTGCGCGATGATCCATGCTCCATGAGCCCTAGAAATAAAATTCAAAACGGTCGGTTATGCACTTCAGAATATTTTCTGTATCTTCAAAAAAGATATTTAGTTTTATATAAAACTTCTATAAAATTGAGTCTAGAACTTTAAAATATTGATTTCTAATTATCAATTTTTATATATAATTATTTTTTAAAATAAAACATTTTAAGAAGTTATAAGTTTTATAATATGCTATTTGTTAAAAACAATCTAAAATTTTAAATTATCTATAAAGAATGTTTTATAAAATAAATTATGCCTTCATTAGCAAGAGGATTTTAAAAATAACCAATCTCATGGCCAATCTAGGAATATTCATGAGATTAGGTTTTTAAAAAAAAATATGGTGAAGAACCTTTGAAAATGCTTGTTTGTATTACATGATTTACATGATAATTGTGTCCAATGTAAATTAGTGACAAATGTAAATTAGTGATTTTAAAAAGGATTATATACTCTTATATAAAAGTATTCTAAATATTCATAAATTAAAAAGAGCAATATAAAATTAAATATTTTGTTAACATGATTAATAAGTAATAAAAGAAGAATACATGAGTTGTACAATATTAAATAATAATATATTCTAGTTATTTTGACTTATTGCATAGATTTTATTTATTTCAGCTTAAAATTTATTAGTTAAGATACTAATCTTAAATATTTTTAAAATAGATTTATAGTTTTGTTATTTTCTTGAAACATCTCACTCCAAAGACAAAAATAAAAAATAAATATTAATAATAGGCATATAAATATAAATTACAGTAATGTGGCATATTTTAACTTGATATATCAATTGACGATTCATTCATAGAGTGAGATAGTATAACCAAACTAATATATCTGTTCAAGAAAGCCGAGCTCAATGAATCCTTTCGACCAAAAAAACAATAAAGCAATAAAGTATCTATACATTCATACAAGCATTTACTTATAAATTGCTATTGTTTGTAATCTTGTTCAAGAGTTTAACAAAGAGATCTTAAATATTTTACCATATAATACAAGGTGCCTTATCCTTCCCATTTTTTATGCTCTTGAGGGGAAAACACATTTAAATGCAAGATTAAGGAATAAAGTATAAAGTTGTTACAAATCCTGCAACTAATTGAATGTCTTGTATAATAAATCATGTTACAAAATCTTAAAACTAGAAGCAATAATTTGTGGCAGCTACTTTTTATAAATTAATTGTGGGAAACCCAAAATCTTATAAACTATACTAAAATTCTAGATTATATGCCTTAAAAATTCTTTCACCTCAAATCCACTTAATTTGAAGAGAATTTTTACAAAATTAAGGCTTCTTATTGTGTGAATTTTGCATAAACACTATAGGTCTTATGTATAGAAGCTTATATATGTGCTTTCATATGTAATTGCAATACACTGCAAATATATATAGATGTAATACTACGTAGTCATTAAAATATATATAGATATTCATTTATCAAGAGCATTCTTCTATGCAAAAAAATCAGAACCACTGCAAGAAATAAACTCCTTACCCAAGTTGCATGAAATTTATGTATTTATATTGTATCTTTTGCATCTAAACTCTAGAATATCAACTCAAGATAAAAAGCCACATCTCTTAACACATGGACGTAGGCAAACAAAATACTCATGGCCAAAATTCTTCTCTGAATATGAAATAAAAACTTGCATTTCATTAACACATCCTCACTTTGTGGGCTATCAAAGGTTGCTCAAGCTTGTATTTGCCACCTTGATTTATATGATGTAGTAATGATGATTTGAGTCTAGAGATCCAAGGCTTGCATTAGTAAAACCCTAAAAACACCAAACTATAAAATTCATTTATATATAAACTATAGTATAAAAATTTAGTAACTCTATCTTGCCTCCTTCCTTAGAGTCTTACTCATAAAGAAGCTTTCATAGAGCCTCATGCTTTCAAGGAGGCTTGTGTGGAGCCTCCACCTAATGGAGATTGTCAAGTGGCACCTCCACCTCCTTATTTGGAACCATTAAATCAAAAGGAGCCTCCACTTTGCTACCCTCCTAATAGAAACTATCATATGCCACCTCCACCTCTTTGCTTGTAACCACTACATAATGAGGCGCCTTCACTTTGTTGGTTGGAGTATCCTTCATATCATGTGGAGCCACTAACTCATTGCCTTGGGGAACCTCAACTAAAGCCTCATCCTTTACCTCACATAGAGGATTTAACACATCCTTCTCATATGAATCGTAGTTAGGGGTGTCCATTTTACGAGAAGGCTCAAAAGCCTTTTCCACTACTATGCTGTATAAGCCCTCCTCCACAACCACCTTGTGCCCCACATAAAAGATCCTCTTCCATAACATCACAAGGATAGTTTTCCTTTACCATTTCGTGTCTGTTAGTGACCTTATGTTTAACCACCAGCTCAAAATCATCCACCACCATATGCCACACAATGTAAAATTGCACTATAAGCTTTACAAAAATAGCCTTGCAAAGGAAAATAAAATCTAAAAACAAATAAAGGATATTTATTAGTATTCAATACAAGACTTATATGTCATAAATGATTATTAAGTTAATGGATCATCTTGCACTTGTAAAGCTGTTTTCTCTATATTCTCAGGATCCAACACCTTTCTTCTGCAATCTTTATAATAGAAGAATCCTCCTCTACCCTTCCCTCTTCACTTTCCTCTAGGATACTGTTATTGTTTATATACCTCTATATATTTATGCTTTTATGGATTTTATTTTCTTTCTAGAAGAAAGATTTATGCTCTATTAGACCAGGGTGTCAAGAGTTCTTAGGCACAGCTTAGTGGCAATACTTGCATAAACACAACCTCAAGATTGGAGACTATATCATCTTCTTTTCACCTAATATAGTGAATGTACATATATTAGGGTTTCCATACAACCCTCTTCTATTGCAAGTCACAAAGCCAATAGCATAAGTGGAGGCCTGCTATCCTCATTTAATATAGCAATTCCTCAATTCCCAATGCTTTACAAAAGAAATAAGATGAATAACTTTGCATGCATTTCAAAATTCAAAGCATACTAGCAAGGGGCTCACTTGGAAATGTGTTCATATCAATGAGATAATATGAGCTTCTGCGTCCAAGAAGTTTGTAAACTATCACACTATAGGTGTATGTCATGTAGAACACTTAACTTCTTAGTCATGGAAAAAATATAGAATGAAAACACACATAGCATATGCATTAGAGAAGAACATGCATAATCAATTAGTTATGTGCAAGCGTGTGTTGCAATGTTCTCATTTACCACAATACAATCATTGCAACAATCACAAAGTTCAAGCCCAAAAAGCAAAAATCCAAGAAAGAAAAACTTATATTATCAATTTGTAACATGCCCAAGTGCAATAAACTAGTGAAATGCCAAATAGTTGTGTGTATGATTAGAATTGCAAGAAATTAATAAATACAACAAGATCCACTTGCTCGTATAAAAACTATTACATTTGATGCTCTAACCACATAAAAAAATGTTTTACCCTCATCTCTAACAACCAATTACACTTGCTTTTGTGCTAATCAATCATTACCTAAATTAGGGTGTCGTGTACAAACAACATATGAGAAATGAGAGACTTACGAGAGTGATTGAAGCACCTTACATTAGAGTATATAAAGTATGCCTATAAGCTGTTAAACATTAAGCACAAACCCTTAAATTAGGAGGAGAGAGATGTTCATAATCAAAGATAACAAATTTATGCTCATGACATAAGAATGAAATAAAATATCCCTTGCTAGATTCACAGTAATGTCATGCTGTTTAAGATGATGTGGCATTAATCTTGTGTGGTAGTCTGAGATGTCATGCCCTATATATACATAGCATAACCCATGATAAAAATATTATGTATACAATCATGTTTCGATTATTTATATAGCAATTGAAAAGTGATTGTGTATATAATAAAACTCATAAATAAATAAATAAATAAATCCATATATGTGTAAATATATTATTTAAACATTCATAATCACATATCCATTGCTATACAAATAGCAATAATAAATTATGATGAATATTTGAATAAAAATTTTATTTTTCAATTAATTTTTTTAAATATAAAATTTGTCCCAAATTGTAACCAAAACTAAATTAGAGTTAAAAATTAATACTTAAATTAACAATAAGTGCCAAATTTGAGTTGAAAAAATATGTAATAATAATGGTTTAGTGTAGTAGTACTAGCAACTCAAAAGTAGAGCAAGCTATTATTGATTGCTAGAGCTCTAGCTTATTGTAAAGTAATTCCAACATAATAACCACTATAAATGTAATATAAGCACCATTGCAATGTTCTTTATGATAAGTCATAGTAGTTTCTAGAATCTACTACCCCTATGCATTGATACCACATACTATAGTGAATTTCTTCTTCACTTTCATGAAAACCATAACAAATAAGTTTCAAGTGATTAACTCTGGGGAGATGGGATAGTCTTCTAAAGTTGAATCCTAGATAGAAAAAGAGAGACCCTAATCACTCATTTTTATTTTTAACATCAAACTTCTTTCTTCTTTCTCAAACTTTTTGTTTCTTTTTGTTTTTTCTTGTTTTGTTCCTCCCTTCAAAATGTTGCATCAATCAATCAATGTATGGCAATATATAGTATAGAAGAATTTCAATATGGTGATTGATTTGAGGGTAATTGATTGAGTGATGGATTCTTCTAGGAGCTAGGTTGTGATAGTGCATAAGACTTGCATATCACCTAAGTCAAAGAAACTTATTCTCTTATCTCCTACAGTCTTCCTTTCAATACACTAGATTTGTTTCCTCGATCATGATGTGGTGCCCCTCAAGGGTCTTTAGAAACTTGGTGGTATGGTGCTTAGGTCTCTTAGAAAGGATATCAGTTTCCTCAACATAAAAAAGTATAGTTGCAATTTAAGATAGGCTAGGTATTCATATACCACATATTCCATATCCAAGTAGATTCTATACTATAGGGTTGCATTACTATACTTTAG